TTACCTGGAGAGGATAGCAGCACTGGCTCGATACATCGGTAGGCCACCGCGAGTCATTGTAAGGGCCAGATATGCATTCAGTGACGTCCAAACGATGCTTAATGAAGTCGAATGCATAGCACATCCTTCAGGAGTTGATGAACGCCCAGAGTTTTATCCTATTTTATTGAGAATTGATTACTTGCTGTCCTTTCTTCTCTCATACCAATACTGTCAATCGGTCTTCCTATTTAGTCCAACCGCTCCAGTAAAATATAGACGAGTAGGAAACAGTAAATGAAGTTGATAAAATTGAGTAGCACCACTACTTACTATGCCATTTTGCCTGTTGCAAGGTCATAATCACCGTGTCACTCACCTGATCTGGAAGGGTGAATGGAAAAGTCATTCACGACATCTAGCTCGCATTGTTTTAAAGCAATATCCACCTACCCTCCTTCCAAACAAAGGATGAATTTGTCGTCTCAGTAACTTCTCTTTCAAACTGTCTGATGCTACGACTAATAAACGTGTAGCACTCGGGACCGAGAAGATGAGATACCAGCTGATTCACCTGCAATAGCCAGCCCACTGATTCCGCTTCTCACATACTACCTGTTATAACGTAAGGCATTTTAAAGATGTTGTATATGAAGAGAAAGTAACAGTAAATCGGCAGTTCTGTTAAATTTGATTACAGTGTTTTGTTCAAAAGCTCTTACCGGAATAATTTTTAATAGAGTTGAGCACTGGACAAAGGGGAACTGTGCGAGCAACCCGAATTTGGAAAAGTTTCCACTGCGGCAGGTTATAAATCTCGTTCATTTACTTTTCGATATCGCAGATGTCGAAAATCTGGTGGCCCGGACATGTGACCGTTACGAATGACAAGCAGTGAACAAAAGCCGTTAACGACTTGGGTCCCGTGGGAGACCCTAAATGCAAAACAGGAAGAGAACGGACCAGAAAGGATCAGATATCTTCAACAGAACTTCGAAGAACAAATGCGATGCGATTCGTGTCCATTGAAGGACACAAACCAACAGACAACTCTGGGAGACAAAAAGGACTAATTAAAGCATTACTGCGCATTTTCAAAACATGCGGCGATTAATGAGGGAAAATGATATAATTGAAGACCTATTAAATAGAAATTGAAAAGCAGCAATAATCAATATCATTAAATATTACTCTTACCTGAGACTAGCTGAGAGACAGGCGAAACGAGGAACCCGCATGACGTGGTAGTGGACGTGCTACCCTCGGAAAAGCTAATAGCGCGTTCGTTTCCCATCGCAAGCACCTACGGTCCGGAGTGTTGCAAATATCTCAGCATCATTGAAATCACTCTTATTCTTATTGTTTTTGGTACATTATATTTTTTTGGAGGCATCACTGACGGTTAATGGGGACGAGTACGCGGATCTGATGCAGAGTAATGTAACAACGCGGGTGCTACCACTCAGTGTCATCACCGTCAGCTCAAACTCTTCCGAAACGACAAACACATCTTGTTCACTCAGCCTTCATCGGTAAGGAATACTATATTTTGAGTTAGGACTGTGGTGTACCGTAATGGCGATATACTACCACGAAAGCAGTACGTGGTTCGCATCTCATTCTATTCATCCTCTAATGAGTACGTAGCTCACGAACCACCTAACTCTCAAGGTCGGTGAAGTTGGCTGCGATAGAATAGTGGGTTGTTAATCAATCCGCCCAAATTACTGTACACCTTAAGCAGCTAATACGTACTCTGCCTCTCAGTCCGCTAGGAAAGAATAATAAAACGATAATATAAACGAAGGTGTCGATGATGGAGACTGTGCGAAGAAATAGCACTGATTTCTGGCCTCGCTCATCCTTTCGAATACTCCACTAAGAAACTGTAGCGCATGCAGAAGCTACGCCCAAACATACACATACGTACACATGTATTAACACACCACACGCACACGCACACGCACATACACTTTGATACAAAACAGTGGTNACGTGGTTCGCATCTCATTCTATTCATCCTCTAATGAGTACGTAGCTCACGAACCACCTAACTCTCAAGGTCGGTGAAGTTGGCTGCGATAGAATAGTGGGTTGTTAATCAATCCGCCCAAATTACTGTACACCTTAAGCAGCCAATACGTACTCTGCCTTTCAGTCCGCTAGTAAAGAATAATAAAACGATAATATAAACGAAGGTGTCGATGATGGAGACTGTGCGAAGAAATAGCACTGATTTCTGGCCTCGCTCATCCTTTCGAATACTCCACTAAGAAACTGTAGCGCATGCAGAAGCTACGCCCAAACATACACATACGTACACATGTATTAACACACCACACGCACACGCACACGCACATACACTTTGATACAAAACAGTGGTTTTTAAAAGAAATATAAAATAACTATTGTAGACCCTACCGACATGAAATCCTGTGAATCTTCTGAGGATTAGAATATTGACTGTGAATAACAGTCATAGTCTTAGCTATTTCACTTTCAAATTCCAAAATTTGTTTCGTCGTAACATTTCCAGAAAAAATCATTCATTGCCCAATTGAAATCAACATTATGGGTTTTTGTTAGAGCAAAACGTCAACAAGAATCTTGCAAAGGCGGCACTCCTAGAACTCTGTTATCAACGTAAATAAGTTACAGTTCCGCTTTATGCTTCTTAACCATATAAGTCCTTTCGCATGAATTTCTGTCCAACTCCGATAGCCCTTCTTCGAAACAATTTCATCGCTGGTCATTACTTTAGAGTTTGTATTAGTTTTTATAATACTCATATTTATTATTTATGTCTGTGCTGTAATATATATATATATATATATATATATATATAGTCTTAATCGTTTTATTTACTGCGTACTTTTTTAAATGGCGGGGCATACTGCGAAATATAACTTTAATGAAGCGATTTGAGCTCCCCAGATCAATCCCGCTGACGAGTGATTGCTGATAGCAAGTGGTCGATAGAACTAGCTGAGAGACCGGCGAAACGAATGACCCGCATGGTGTCGTGGTGAACGCGTTAATCCCCGGAAAAGACGATAGCACGTTCGTTCCCCACCGCATACACCTGTGGTCCGGAGTTTTGCCAATATCTTAGCTTTATTGAAGATATATATATATATTAATTTGCAAGGGGAAACACTGTAAGAGAGTCAACGGCAATCGCTTTAAATACACTGTTGAGGGGGATCTATGCAAAACAGCTCAGAATTAGAGACGAATTAAGCGACAACTATTCAGCAATTGTTGAAAATTTGTTGTAAGCTCAAAAATTATACAGGTTCTGAAGAAAGACATTAGTTCTTGAACATGTCGGCATATTTCTGCTGTACAGAATCTCATGACAGCACGAGGACTAAAGGAATTTGTTCATTGCACGCAACAAAGCCTAGGCTTAATATATCTGGTTTCAATTTATAAACTTTATTCTGTGCCGAAGAATGTATGTAAAAGTGATCGCTACCATTTTTTATAAAATGTGTGAGCTATAAGGGCACGTGTGGCGCAGTGGTCGGAGGCGCCCTGCAACGCACGCGTTTCAGCGATACCCATGCTCATGGGCCACCAAGCCTACCATCCCTCCGGAGNATACAGGTTCTGAAGAAAGACATTAGTTCTTGAACATGTCGGCATATTTCTGCTGTACAGAATCTCATGACAGCACGAGGACTAAAGGAATTTGTTCATTGCACGCAACAAAGCCTGCTTAATAAGGGCCGGTCTAGAGAATTTCGTAAGAGTGATAGAAATACCACCGGACACTCTAAGACGCCAGCTAGTTCGCAACCGCCTGTACGACCGTCTATGTACAACAAAAAACTGCATAATTTGCCCTAACGGTAGAGACGGCAATTGCATGAGTTCGGGTACAGTCTATCTGATCTCTTGTAAAGCGTGCGGGCACGAATATGTTGGCGAAACGGGTAGACCGCTCTGCGTCCGCATAAAGGAACACCTAGTCGGTAAATCTAAATTAAAACCAAACACTCCACTAAGCGCGCGTAGGATGCAAGAACACAACGGAGAAGATTTTGAGGTAGGAGTCACTATCCTTACGCAGGAATCGAAAACATCAGCGCGAAAAACTCTTGAAGCGTTTTGGATCAATGCCAAAAATTCAAAAATGAACCGCAAGGAGGAGTGTCTTGTCATCACGCGTGACCTAGCGCCATACCTCAGGCTGATCCAATGATCTGACATGGACCCAGTTATCGACCATGTATTACTCTGTGCGGCGGCTATCCACCAACTAACTTAAATACTTACGACAAATAAACGGTAGGTGTTTGAATGAAGCTGTTTCTTATGCGAATACAAATCGATTTATCAAGTTTTATCTGCTAGGGTTATGAAAGTGTTTGGCTGAGTAGATCGCATCTCAATTTGACCTTTCCAGGCTCTGAAGAAGGCGAAACCGCCGAAACGTCAGCAATTGTGTTCTAATAAATTCTATATTAACAACCTCGTGTCTGCTTATTGATGAAAAACATTGAATTATGGGAAATTGTCTAAAATGGTTAGAATAATGGTTGCCCGTCATGTTTTCTGGAAAGATTTTAACACTCATGAGTCCATACTGACGACTGGAGGCTTCATCCTTTCGCCGACCCTCCTCGTCACATCGAGTAGTTCTCACCCTTAGAATAGGACTGATAACTAACCGTAAAGTGTGGTATCTACTGATAAGAGCAAAATTTTTCACAGCCTTTCCTCTGTCGTCTATCCTAAAAGGATCCAAGTTTCGTCTTTCGTCTTCTCTTCTCTGACAACTACACTACTGTAATTTTAATTAATTTTAAAATAATTCCTTCTCGTAAGGCTTACTATAGCCAATAGTTTAAAAACTTTCTGATAAGCTGGTTCTTCCTATTTCATTCAGAGACTTCGGATTACTCATTGCGTAAGTTAATGTTGCGTGGAAGTCATCACATGCATTTCGCTGGATCTTCATAGCTCTATACCTATAACGTACACTTATCTTTCCACTAGATTTCAGTTTTTACCAGATGTATGATGACATCACAGCTCTGGTAATTGATAATGGTTCCGGAATGTGCAAAGCCGGCTTAGCGGGCGATAACGCCCCTCGCGCCGCCTTCCCGTCCATTGTTGGGCGACCACGCCATCAAGGAGTGATGATTGGATTGTGACAGAAAGACTCGTACATCGGCGACGAAGTACAGTCAAAAAGAGGCTCGCTATAATCCAGCTAAACGAAGGCAGTTAAAATTTGACAGAAATTTCTAAAACCTGCTGACATACAGGGTCTTCAAAGGGCGCGTGTAGCGCAGTGGTCAGAGGCCCCTGCAATACTCATGGGATCGTTACCCGTGCTCCAAGCTCACTAAACCATGCGTCTATCCGAGGTGCGCAAAATGGTACCGGGCCTGTTTACGAGGGTAGCCACACGTAGCCGCACTTATCGATGAATTGGTGGACCACCGCAAATCATTGTAGAGGCCAGATATGCATTCAATTACCTCTGACGATAGTTGATGAAGTCGAATACACGACGCATCTCTCAGGGATTGGTCAGCGCCAAGAGCTTTATTCTCTTTACCTCGTATACGTTCTTCAAGCACAAATTCAGTGAGAGTGTAAACGGAAGTTACTCGCATTAATTGATGGACATAGGTATAAAATGGAGCTTGTTTGGCTCGAGAGCCACATAGGCAACAGTCGGCGGATGTGAACGCGAAAGCCACGCCTCATTGCACTCCACGATTTTTTGTAACGTAGGCGGCCACTTTTGTTCTCAAAAAGTTAAAAATAATAAAGACAGATTATTTGGAGTCCCTCAGATGATGAAGTTACGACAACTCCGTTAGGACGTTGTGTCAATAATATAGATAAAAGGATAAAGCATTCGAGGTCGATTAGAAGGGATGTGGCATTCATTTGACTTCATCAAACATCATTTAAATTAGGTCAGACTAATAATCACTTGTGCAATGCAATGAACCTCTGATGATTACGCTACACGCTTCTATATTTCAGTCACATCATCCGCAATCATGCTAATAATCGAAAAACTCGAAAGAAAACCAGTAGAGTCGTCGTTTGACCTTGTGACGCTCCTGAACTTCTTAGTAAACCATGCTTGCCTGAGAAACGCTAAAACAATCCCGCATGCCTCCCATTCACTTCAATGCACAAATTCGAATGAACTGACGTTAATGCAGACCTATGTGCACCCATGAATGAGTATGTGGTATGCAGGATATAAATCCTGTTCGTAGAGACACTTGGAAAGTGTAACGTAGCTTTCCTCTTTGTTCCGTGGTCGCCCTAGCTTTCCTTCTTTATTCCCTTATGCTCTACGCTTATGTAGGACTGGACGCATACCGTGCTACTAGCTAGTGCATTGCTCGAAATCCCTTATTTGAAAGAAATTCGCGGAAGCTACCATTCAGTTTTAGAATTATTAAGCAAAAAAGGTAGAACGGTTTGCTATACTGTCTTAATGTTTAAACAAGATAAAGCACCGTATTCATTCAATGACAGAATAAGATGTAGGAACTGCTCCAAGATGGGTTGTCGACATGGAAAGAAATCATCACCAGTCTACAATCCCTCAGCAAAACTTCTGTATAAGGGAAGCATTCCCGAGTGAAGTTCTTATTCGAGCGGTCCTACACTGAGAAAGAATTGACTCGATACGGGAACGAAGACCCACAACGCGAAGAGGAAATTACTTCCGGCTCAGATAATCGGCCCTAAGGAACACGAAGACGTCGAAGCGCTAACCGAATAAAACTTATATAGCAACTGATTTGTAATCGAATCATCTTGCAGGAACAGTATATCAACTCTCGCCTTGCATGAAGAGGGATTTATTCTCTACCTTTCGAATCACTTCTCTTACTCTATGACCGCAAGGTCAGTGCACCAAGGTCGATAAATAAATATAAATAAATAGATCTACACTTTAGGTATTCTCACATTCCGTTATCCCATTGAACATGGTATCGTTACAAACTGGGACGACATGGAGAAGATTTGGCGCCACAGCTTCTACAATGAACTTCGAGTAGCTCCTGAAGAGCACCCGGTGTTGCTTACCGAAGCACCACTGAATCCAAGAACCAATCGAGAAAAAATGACTCGGGTTGGTAATCTTCCTCAATCATGCACTCGAAAAAACATTGTTGGGGCACTGCAGAGACAACCGGCGTGGTTTTGATCACGAACTGGAAACATGGAATAGAAAAAATAGAACAGAAAAAGCGTCAAAATAGCAATTCCTCTTTTGGTGATAATAATTTCTTCGCTATTTTAAATGTGTGCAGGCAATTCTTCCAATGGCTACTAACATTTCCAGATAATGCTCGAAACTTTCAACGCACCAGCCATGTACGTGAATATTCAAGCCGTGCTATCCCTTTATGCTTCTGGTCGTACTACCGCTATGGTACTCGACACTGGGGATGGAGTTACGCCCACCGTACCGATCTATGGGCTCAGTGGAATTTCTCTTTCATGGTCGAAACCTCACCGACTATATGACAAGGATTCTTGCTGAACATGGTTATACATTCACTACTACGGGTTCGTGCTCATAGCGAAACTAAGTAGTCCTTGAATTTCTGACAGTGATAAAGTAGGACAGTGACATAGCCGCCCTGCTTTGAACGGAGTTAATTGTTCCAGTTGGCGTTTATCGGAATGGAAACGGCTGGGATCCATGAGACAACCTACCAATCTATCATGAGGTGCGACGTCGATATCAGAAAGGTAATTTTTATGATTTCGTAAGAATGCAAAAAGAAGAAGAAGTAATAAAATTTTGGAGCGTTCGGAAACGTCATTTCCCTTAGTGATCGATTCTTTGGCGATAATGAAACAGAACTGCTTACAAAAAAGATGAACATCGGTTTAGGCTGCATATCTGGACCAAGTCATCTTGCAAGACACATTCTTATCAACCTACCTACAACGAAGCTGGAAAAAGCCAGTGCACTTTTTTGGTATTACCAGCCGGTCAAACGCATTAAGCGAACTGCGTGATGTTTTGTAAATGTCAAGTGAACACGGGAAACCAAAATGGACTTTGTATCTACTTTATATTAAGTCTCGATTAACGAACTTCAATCTTCTGAGCACTTTGTTGTCTCACAAGATTATCGAGAACAGAATAGCTATATCAGGATCTCTACACTAATATTGTACTCTCAGGAGGTCCTTCTATTTTCCCTGGAATTGCCGACAGAATGCAAAAGGAGATTCAAGAATTATCGCCAAGGTTAACGTATAGTGCTGTAGTGAGATACTAGCTCAACAATTGATAACCGTGTTTCAGCACAGTGAAAATCAAGATAATGGCCCCACCGAAGAGGAAGTACTCTGTGTGGCTCAGTGGTTCAATCCTAGCCTCACTATCTACTTTTCAACACCTCTGGATACCCAAGCAGGAATATGATGAATATGGTTCTTCAATAGTTCACCGAAAGTGCTCTTAAGAAAGGCAAGTTTTTAAAAAATACCTCTGAATCAATGCTTCTGCAATCAAGTATTGTAAATCACCAGAGAATAAATACGCCTCTCATCACCGCGTCATGGAACCATAACCTTTAGTTCTGAAGAAGAACAGAATTGGAATATCTTCGCCATCAAAATGTTTGTATTAGTTAGATCAGTGCAAAGATATTTAGTCAAAACGAAGAGAAGAGAATTCTCTTCCCATATGTCACCCAGACTCTTTTCTTGATCCTTTTTGCAGTAGAAGGATTGAGGGGGTCACTGTGTGGTGCAAAAAGCGTGGAGAACCAGGAAATCAGAGGCACACATAGGCGAAGCTCGATTGACGACTACATACTGTCTGATAGCTTTACAAATCCATCGAAGCGCTAGAATTGCACTCTTAATTTTATCTTATCAGAAACAAAAGTCGCTACTCACGTAGTTCGCAGATTTGACTATTTGCAAACTCATTCACACCAGAATGAAAGAGTACCGAAGGATTACATAACCTATTTAATTCATGGTAAAGCTGGACAAGAATCTAACCGAAGGCTACGTTCTCAAGAACACCATCTCACCTACACTGCGCTGTACAAAACTTATTAGTGTTCCGAATCGCAAAATGTTTATCTCAATGAGACTGATTCCTATACTCTTAAGCGTTACGAGGCGAGCAGAGGTAGACAAACTATTGTGGCTGTTTCTCTTAACCCAGTTTTCGACCATGTAGAAGTGCTCTTTGTGATATTTTCGAAGTGTTCCTTCTTTCTTACGCATGCAATGTTTTTAATTCACTCATGAAATGCTGAAATGAAACAATCGCGCTTTTTATAATAGTAAGATGGGAATTTAATAGTAAAAGGATAAAGGATAAAGTTCTCGTCGTTGATCAATCCCTGAGGGATGCGCCATGCATTCGATATCTGGCTTTTACGATGACTCGTCGTGGTCTACCGATGTATCGAGCCAGTGCTGCTATCCTCCCGGGCAAGTCTGGTACCAATTTACCGAGCCCGAAGGGATGGAAGGCTTGGTGGGCCACGATTGCGGGAATCGATTCCACGTGTGTGTCGCAGTGGTGCCTCCAATCGCTGCGCCACACGCGTACTTTTTGATATTGTAGTATTGAACAGTAATTGATACTTGATACTTGAATGGTCCGCCCTCACTGGTTGTGTGGTTTCCAGCACAATCTCCATTTTTCAGAGATTAGCTGGCTAAGAAACTGTGGCTCCCTGGAATCCCGAGGTCAACCTGGCTAAAGTCTGCTTCATGTCTTCACCACCGTCGTAGCCCTCGTGGATCAAAGGGAAATTTGCCACAATGCCACCTTGATACCAAAACAGTGGTGGATCCTGGTATTGGTTTACTCTCAGCTAGGCTTTCTGATGGAAACGCCAGACTTCCTTTCAGCTTAGGAGACCCTGCTAAGGGGATGAATCCCCTCGCTTTAAATTGCAGCCCGACACCCAGGAACACCTCCTAGCCACGATGAGGTGGTAAAACGTTGGGAGGAGTATTGAATAGTATCAATCACATATACACCACCACCTTCAAGTGATACCTATGATTTGTCGAAGGGGGATTAATGGTTCAAGTTCCACAACGTTACGTGATTCAATTAAGGAAAGCACAAAGTGGTACACCATGTCAGTTTTACTGACGTACATTCTACGACCCACTATTCTGAGTAACGCCGTCGTCGAATCTTTTGGCAACCCTGACATTACTAGTCTATTAACAATAATCGTCAGCATACTATTCAACGAGTTTACACCAGTTCTTTGATTGAAATTTTAAAAAATGACATTCGTTGAGGACTAATTCATTACTGGAGGTGTGCACACATTCAACAAAACAAACACCTCTGAATGTCTCGACTATGAGAACTCGCGTTCGACTTCTAATAGCAGGAAGAAAAGAGCGGCTTGCGAAGAATGGCTTATAAAAACATTGAGAATATCGTGAGCAGGAACAATTAGATCCTTGTCAACCTTTTGATTCTGCGATCATTACTGCATAATTTTACGTGTCGGAAGCCTAGACACTGAATAAACAGGATCAAAAAACGGCAAACCTTCCAAAACATTCAACCGAGAGAGAGTAACAATTGTGTTTCGTTACCAGACTTGTCTGGAAGGATAGCAGCACTGGCTCGACACATAGATAGGCCACCGCGAGTTATTGTGAAGGCCAGATATGCATTCGATCACCTCCAAACGATGCTTAATGAAGTCGAATGCATGGCGCATCCCTCAGGGATTGATCAACGCCGTGAGCTTTATCCTTTGTTTATCCTTTATATATGTAGCGCACCGGTACCGCGAACTCCACCGTTTACGAAAATTTCGAAGCTTGAAAATAACCTCATCGTATTGAGAAACTATACCGAACCCAATAAGTGTTTTCGTCGCTACTTCAGTTTAACAAAAAATGTGAAAAATTATCAACTAATGAGTACACAATGTTAACATTTTATTTACTGCCTAATGTGCCTTTGGCGGCTCCGCATAATACCCTACCAAGCGTAATACTCTGGCAGTAAATAAAAAGTTAGTATTATGACTTCGACAGCGGCCTCAGCCTAACTGGGTTCAATGGCGATTTATGCTCCCCAAATCAATCCTATTGACGGGCTATTGCTGATGGCACTGGTAGATAGATAATTAGCTGAAAGAAAGACGAAACGAAGGTCCCGCATGGTGTGGTGGTGAACGCGTTACTCCCCAGAAAGGACAATAGCGCGTTCGTTTCCCACCGCAGACACCTGCGGCCCGGAGTTTTGCAAACATCTCTGCATTATAGAAGTTATATTTCGCAACATACCCTGTCATTAAAAAGAATAGGCAATGAATCAAAAGGTTAAGATTGTGATTATAAATATAGCCTCATCTTAACTGGGTTCAACGCCGATTTAGGATCCCCAGATCAATCCCATTGACGGGTGCTTGCTGATGACAGTGATCGATAGGACTGCCTGTGAGACAGGCGAAACGAAGGACGTGCGTGGTGTGGTGGCGAAGGAGCGATCCCCTGGAAAAGATAATAGCGCGTTCGATCCCCACCTCAGACACCTGCCATCCGTAATTTTGCAATTATCTCAGCATCATTGTGGTTAACGAGCACACAGTTGGCTTTGAGGTGCTAGTGTGATCCAATAAGAAGTAGGAATCGCTTGGTCTCATTTTTGGTTACGGGGACCTTTTTATTACCCTCTCCATCGTAAATATGTATTTAAAAATGTAAACTTTTACCAAATCGAATTCCAAGTTGTCAGCGTATGTGCGTTGAAAATAGTTCTAGTAATAGAATACCTTTGGTGGCAAAGCTAATTATTGTGCCTAAAAATGCAGGAAAAAACAAAATAAATAACCGGAAAAAAACGAGTCATATACGACTCATATGTGACGTTTTGCTTTGATGTATACCCTTGAGTGTCAAAACAACCCTTCTTTCCATAGCGCTCCCTAGTCGTTAGCAATTTGCAATCTCATGGCCCTTTGAGTACAATGGACTTCAGCGCATTACTATTGGGTTTTTTTCAAGACGGTTCCGATTTCATGGATTAGTCTACACTTAGCCATACTTCCAGGTGGAAATAATCAGCTCCTCTTCTTGAGTGGCTCTGCGGGCAGATTCATTTCGCTACTAGTCATCGCAGTTCGAGATTCCAAGAACACATTCTACCAGCTATAATGAAGCGATAACTCATGAAAAAAATATACATATTGTTGTTCATATCACATTGTTGTACTTATACATGAATTACTGAGATTATGAAACAACGATTTTTAAAGCGAGTAAAAGTAAACTTGAAACCCACGTTTCATTATCATTATCCCGTTAATGTATACCCATCTTGGTCTTTCTAACACTTTGAACCTCATATATGGGCTTCGTTCGACACGATTCGAAGTAGGAATCGCTTGGTCTCATGCGTTGTCGGCTTCCACCTCATCTGTTTGGACGACTGTGGCCAATGATAAATGGTGTGTCATATCATTGCTGATAACTCGGGTCACGCACAATGCTTTTTGGTCGGTGTTTCATTTCGCTCTCACTTGCGAACAGAAAATTGTTCCGAACTCTGAGCAGTTTAAATGTCCAGTTCTTTTCCTAGTTATGACTTTCGCGTTTCGGAAGTGTACTCCTCCATCAGTAGCAGCAACTCGAATTCTTTAAGGAACTACTACTTTCAGAATGATTTCATTTCTTATTCCCTTACTTTTTTCCATACCACATCATCAACAGTATCATATGATCTGCTACTATAAGTAAGTGTCATCCGTCACCATTAATTTTAGTTGCACAATTTCACCGTAAGTTCACTTCAGGTGGAACGAGCCACCACTGAAGGACGTGGACATATCTCTGTGTTCTCATATTATTCTCATAGGCCAGCTCTATCTCGATAATCTTGGCCATCTTCAACTTCCACCTGACCATATTTCACAGGTTTACATTACGTTTACAATATATGCAAATTATACATTTATCAACTACGTTCAACTTTTATATTTACATGGTGCGTGCATTGAAATTGGTAAAGGTTTCTGCGGTAGACACAAATTCGTTGAGTCGTGCCCGAGCTAGGAGCAAACCAAGCGCTATATCGTTTCAGATACCGCAAATTGGTGCTAGACTTGTCTAGGGGAATAAACGCACCTATTTGATACATCAACGGAAGACCGTGTTGTATGGTTCAAATTTTTCTTAAACGAGTGAGGGTGAGCTTGTGATGCAGAGGTGCCAGGCAATACACGCGTGATCTTTGGTTCAATACCGCGTTCCGCGCTCATCAAGCATTCTATCTCTCCAAGATCAGAAAACTGGTAACAGTCCTATCCAATTGAGTACAACCACTGACATTAATACATCGCTACGCCACCGTACGTCAATCCATGGGCCAGATCTGCATTCATTCACCTCTAACGATAACTGATAAATTCGAATCTATGGGGTATCCCTCAGAAATTGATTAATTTCGACCTTTTCATCCTTTCATTCCTTCCTCCTTTTTCTCACAACCAGTAAAGGTTTCATCATTGTTTGAAACCGTAATTATTATTCTCTTCTTTTTTATTTCTAGTGCAAATTTTTCAACTCCTATTCCTTCTCTTGTTTACATTATGACTCATCATTCATCGATCATCTAATTTATAAATCGTCGAGATCACTCAGGTAGCAAACTTTGATATTTTAGGATTTTAGTGGGTTAAAAAAGCAGCGTCAAGATCTCAAATTGCTAATTTGTCTTACAGGACCGAATCATGGATTTTCAGAAGTGGTATCACTTTATCAGAATCCAATCTATCGGCAAATCGTTGATTCGCCGTCCTTTTTCAGGTTTCTTCCACTGCCACAATGTCTACACTAGCGGACGCTTCCTATGCATTCCTTAAAAAATTTTCCTTCGATGGGTTAGATATCGATTGGGAATTTCCGAGCTGGAGCTCAGATTCACAGAAGACTGACCGGCAAAGATTTCCCCTACTTTTAAAGGTACAAATGACGAAAAGTTATGGAACGTCGTTTTCTTCGCTTATACAAGTTATGTGATAATTCATCTATTTATTGCTTAATCTGTCGTAACTTTCTTCATGGGATTTGTTCAGCTTTTCCGTGGTAGTAAAAAAACAGTACTGGTCGCAATGCACAAAAATACAGTCGTTACCTAGTATCCACTTGACCCCTGTGCCACGACTCCGCCTTTTGGACAACAGGTGGTAATTTCGCCACCAGTAGAGTAGTGCAGGAGTTGAGGGCTCTATATGCTTATGGAAGAGAGTATCGTCTAATGAATATAAGGATTATATAACTTTTATAAAACATTCCCACCCACCTTTCTAAATTTGCTTGATGTCAAGATTCTCAAAAAATTGGTAGTGAAATTTGGACTATTAGAATTTTCAAAGCAAGGCCGACAGCTGCAAAAATAAGTACATAATGAGAGACACCATAATGCCTTTCTCGACGAAATTTTCCTTTTCCAATCCCTCTCGTCTTCGAAAAATGAGCCTCAACGGTGATAGCGTCTGATCTTATAGGACCAGAAGTTCTATGACTCTATGATAAAATTGCATCTTATTCGCAAAGAGCTTCATATTTTGAAGACTTTAATTTTAATGTTTAACGTTCTGTTTTCTGCCTTCTATAATTTTCATGGCAGGTTACTAAGCGAAATACAACCACAACGTTGCTGAGATATTTGCAAAACTCTGGACCGCAGGTGTCTATGGTGGGGAACGAACGCGCTATTATCCATTCCGGGGAGTAATCCTTTAATTATCCTTTAATGTTAAGTAGTAAAGTTTGCTGTGAACTCAGACATATTTGTTGAAGATTAAAGTCGACCATTATTTCTGAATCGTATGGCCCAAAATCGGTCACGCCGTCGTGTTAGGGTTAGCGCAAAATACGGGGAACGCGTTCCTTCAAAGGCAGTCTTAATCGGGATTTGAAACACAGTTCTTAAACCTTACACACCTAATCATCATTTCTATTCTATGCGATTTTCCTATTCCCAAGAGAGAAGGGAGCTCATGATGATTTTAGACCCTTCGTGATAAATTCGGCTCCACCTTATTGCTGACAGTCGCCGTATCTGGGCCTCCAACGATCACGAAAGTCGCCTACGAGACGGAATCGTTCAACAGGTAAGTAGTTTCTCATAGAATTCCATCTCATTGGCCTTCTTACTTTTTCCTTTAATAGAAATGGCGATCAGAACAACATCAGCTTATGTAAGAGTGGCACAGAGCTGTAGAAAGTTTTCAGCTTTCTTGCAATGATTTAAATTGCCAAGAAGAAACAATAAGTTTGAAAAAACATAAATAAGAGGCAAGTTCAGGCTGAACCTACTAGATGTACAGGTTATAAAATTCGTTGCTAACTATGCCATAACATCTCTGAATCCTACTTTCTTTGTTCTTTTTGTTGCATTTTTAGAATTTTCCAGATATGTGGATTTGGTGAATGTAATGAATTACGACTTCCACATCTTCTCATACTTTCATCCATTCGTCGGATTCAACGCACCACTCAGAAAACTGTGCCTGGAAGTAGAAGTGGCTTCGCTGATGAACTCGGTGACAGTGATGCTTTTGCTTCCTAGTTAAGCCTCAAAAATACTCTTCATTTTTCAGGAAGCTTCTATGCTAACATGGAAAAAATTGGGGCTGTGGAGCAATAAAACGGTTCACTTCTTTCTTATGTTTGTTCTATAGAAAATTTCTGTTGACTATTCAACCATTTGTTCTGAAGGTTTTCGGCATTCCAACGTACGGTCGAGGATATCGCTTGATTAATTGGCGAGTGAACAAACCGTATTCGTTGGCTAGTGGTACTGTAGATGGCCTGTCGAAATATTCCAAGGTATTTTAAACTGGATTCCAAAACTCCTCGTTTTTTTCTCGAATGTCATTCGTAGGTCATGTGCATTTTTTATATGACCCGCATTGCGTCCCACTATGTTAGTATTTGGAACTCTTATGCAGATCCCAATCACTCCTCCTTCTTTCCTTCATTCTATTCTCATTATTCAATATTAAAATCTTGTGGAATAATCATATCATTGTGGTTCAGTTCATATGGTGGTATTGCAGACTTGTAAGTTAGCTGAACGAAGCTCGGCGTACATGTATGTGTGGAACGACCGAGCCGCTTCTCCTTACCTTTATGGTACGATGGTCAAATATATTTAAAACAATTTTAACTTATTATTTTCGCCTACTTTTTTTAAATGGCAGGGTGTATTGCGAAATATAACTTCAATGATGCTGAGATATTTGCAAAACTCCGGACCGCAGGTGTCTGCGGTGGTGAACGAACGCGCTATTGTCCTTTCCGGAGAGTAGCGCGTTCACCACCACACCATGTGGGTCCTTCGTTTCGCATGTCTCTCAGCTAGTTCTATCGATCTTTGCCACAGCAATCATCCGTCGGCGGGATTGATCTGGGGAGCCCAAATCGGCACTGAATGCAATTAAGCACAGGCTATAGTTATAATCACAATTTAAACTTATTATTTTCTGCCTACTCTTTTTTTAATATTTTATAATTTTTTTATATATTATATATAATAATATTCTTTTAATATTTTTTATATTTAAAACAGTTAGCGTACATTTCTGGAATATGCTTGGAATTAAACGGTGTATTCGATCGCTGCTGGTAACAAGTCCAGAGTTACCTTTTTTATTCGCAACATAAACGGAAATGGAGGTGAATTAACTAACGATCAAAGAATAGGGGATAAGATGACTATCACAATAATGTCATTAACCGTCCAACATTGTTAGTCATATTTGTGGGTAGTTCCAACAATAGTAAAGAGTAATCATCTAGGAAAGATTTTCCCATTGTCAATGACTATTCAGTGGGGGTGCAGGATTTTGTCGTTCTTTCCATTTTTCCTGTTGGGTCCCTTAATCTCCCTAAGACCAAGAAACCGACATTTTACAAACATATCTTATTTAGTACCTTTAAGTCGAGAACTATGAGATGTCAGAGGAATAATGGGTAGTTTCATAGAAGTCGCTGCTTTCCACCACATGTGTTAGCCTGGTTCTCATTGACAGGTTCTCCTCCGTTTTTCAGGACAATATCGATTGCGCCCCAGAAAACTTGGCACTAAGGATTTTTTACAAAGTTTCTACAACTTTTTTGTTAACCTAGTTCCACACGTCTAGGTACCGACAAGCTCTGGCTGAGTTTCGAAGACGTCAAGAGTGTACGGGCGAAGACACAGTATGCCCGGAAACTTGGAATCGCTGGCGTGATGGTTTACGACATAGGTCAGTTCATATTTGGGTTATTTTTCTAAATTTGGCATTTATGGGAACAAGGCGGAAGCCCTACCGTGTACTGAGCCAAATAAGCCTTCCAAGCCTCCATGCTCGGGAAGTTGGCACCATTCCTGTCTGAAACAACCTGTCATCCTTCAGTCCACCTGGGAACGCTCGAACTCCGATATCTCAGGACTTCAAGGAAAACTGATTTGGTCGGTATTCAACAAGATTCGTGATGCGCTGAAAAACAGCCGCAACGACGCTGAGATGTGGGAAAATCTAGAACCTCAATTGTGCTTCGAACCATTTATTACCCTGCCGCCAGCTGTAGTGCTGTTCATCACGCCAACCGACGCCTTTGCTTTGCCTTTCTCTCAGCCAAATTTCTCACAGTAAGAATAATCTTCGGTTCGAAGCCTAGCTAAGATTTCGAGTTTTGATGATATATCGACATTCTCGCAGTTGCATTTCACAGCATACCCAAGCATGAAAAAAGAAAGAAAAAATAGACACTGAATAAATGCTAGAACATTGGAAAGACGAAAAAATTCTCAAGGAGCGGCCAAAGACACATCCGAAAAGTTCGAAAAAATTTGTCGTGATGGATACAAAGAAACGAATAGATACAAGAAGTTCTGAGATCCGTAGTGTGATAAATGTGACGTTGAGTCGTGCAGGAAAGTGGAAAACTACCGAGAAGTTGATATTGATTTTCTTCACTCTAATAGTTTGTTACTTTTTACTTTTTCTACCCAAAGAACCTGATTTTCTTCACGGATTCAATTCTAACCTTGTTCTTTTCCTCACTATTCCTGTACTTTCAGGATCGGACGATGTTTACGGTTTCTGTGGTAACGGTACCTATCCACTTCTTCGCGCTGTCAAAGAAGAACTTTTATGAAGGCGATGTATAGCAGTTGATGATCTCCTAACATACACAGTGAAGCCCCATTAACAAATTGAGGATAAAGCGATTCAGCATCTGCCCTAAAAGGCGAGGTCTAATTCTCCGTCACTTACGGATTGCATTGTAACCAATGCACGTTAGTGGTCGTGTTCCTCGTCAAGAATAATTTAAGTGCCCCTCATTAGAAACACCTTCTGCTTCACTTATTTGGTATAGTAGTAAGAAATCCCCGCAGGAGTTATGTAATTTTCACCGCACGAGGACGCATTTTTGTGTTTGCACGTGCACTAAAATCAATACGTTATGTCTTTAATGTGTTAGTACCAAGGCATTGTAGAGCTATTATTATAAAATTAAATCAAAATAACGCTGTAATAAAGTTATCATTTCTAAATTATCGATCGCCTACGGTTAAGTGCAATCGTTCTGAGGAGGTAAAACTGCTCAAGAACAGCGAAAATTCCAGAGAATAAAGGATAAAGTAATTCCCAAGACCGACTTTCTGTTAACCTCGGCATTAATTGATAATTCAATGTTTTTCTTCAAAAAGCAGACACTAGGTTTTCTTCGTATTTTTGTTGAGCAAACGAGAGGTGTTACTATTCTTTGTTCACGATTAAGCTGACGTTTCGGCGAATTTC